AGATCTGAGGGTGTTCAAGCTGAGGCAACAGCTGTTTCAGCGGGGGAGGTATCTATTAGTCATATAGACGGAACTGGAGAGGACAAAAAACTAACTCCAGATAATTGTGGGCTTCTTCCTAACACCTGCCTGCCATGTCTCTCATCTACTGCTCTCTCTCTTGAGAAAAGGCGGCCAACAAGCCCAGAAACACCAAATTCACGCAGAAAGTCACTTTCAAAACTTTCCTTCAAATGGAGGGAAGGTTACGCTGATATGACGTTATGTGAGTGTCGGCAATATTTTCCATCTGTACAAGTTGCTTTCATTTTAATTTCCTTGCACTTTCACTTTTTATGCAAGAGAAAATATTCACTCACATATGAGCCTCTTGAATTACTCTGGGCACAATGACAACCATTTAAGAGGAATGAAGAAATAAAAGGAAACCATCATTTCTATTAGCTGAACTCTTCTTCGTTGAGCTTCATTGATTACCTGCATGTCAGTTTCTAGATGCATACTCTGCTGATTCTCTCCACAACTAATGCTCGTAAGCGTGAAACTCATTCATGCCTCCTCCTCTGTCTCAGATTCTCCAAAGGCACTCAAACAAAAACATTTAGCAGGCTCATCAGTTCCATTTTGCTCAATAGACAAGCAAACAATAGGCTCTTGGTCACCTATTGAGCCATGTTCCTTCAAAGTCAGAGGAAAAAACTACTTTAGGTACACGCCAAATGCCTTGATGCTCTGTACTAAGCTTTCTCTCAATGATTGAACCTTGTAAGAAGGCACACATGTTGAGGAGACGATTAAAAATTCTGGAATTATTCTTCTCTCTTGATATATATATTTCTCTGTGGCATCATTGGCAGGGATAAGAAGAAAGAATCTGCTCCAAGCAGTGCTGCTTTCTATCCGGTTGGTGCTGACATCTTCTTGTCTCAGCGGAAAATTGATCATATTGCTCGTTTTGTACAACTTCCAGCAATAAATGTAGCTGGAGATGTCCCTTCTATTCTTGTAGTTAATGTTCAGGTATTTGCATATTTTCTTATTTAGCTTGGTAATTTGAATGTACATTTATTGATCCGTAGAAAAATTAGATGCGAAGTTTTTGGCCCTATATTGATAATCTTATATGGTCCAAAGAAAAAGTTAAAGTGGAGCTCTTTCCTTCACGAGTTCATAAATACTTTTTACTGATACATTCTCTTGATTTTTACCTGCAGATACCATTATATCCTGCCACTATCTTCCAAAGTGAAAATGATGGAGAAGGAATGAATGTGGTTTTGTATTTTAAAGTGTCTGAAAAATATTCTAAAGAACTTCCAGAACAATTCCGAGAACACATTAGTGTAAGAAGAATTCAATAAACATGATAGTTTCTCTTTCATGTTCTGCCTTGCGTCTTGGAGCATATTGCCTCTATGATGTGTTCTAATATGTAAATTACATTAACGAGTTGAACTGGACATATCTTCTTGACAGAAATTGATCAATGATGAGGTGGAGAGAGTCAAAGGCTTCCCTCTAGATACAATCGCACCCTTTAGGGAGAGATTAAAAATTTTGGGTCGAGTGGCAAATGTGGAGAACCTTACTTTAGGCACGACTGAAAAGAAGCTTATGAATGCTTACAATGAAAAACCTGTTCTCTCACGACCTCAACACGAATTTTTCCTGGTAGGTACCCTACATCTTTTGAATTATCTGCAGTATGATGATGACATTTTAATATGAGATTTAATGATAATGTGGGTAATTGCATGGTGTTTCCTTGGAGTAACTTGAATCATTATGATGTTCTCTGAACAAAAATAGGTGAATCAACTCTTTGATAACGCTGAATGTGCTAAATTCATCAATTTATAAATAAAATTCAGAATGAGCATATTATGAACACTACTCAGCTTCCTTGGCGATCACGTTGGGATCTAAACAAAATGGAAATAGGTTTCAGTCTGGTGTTCACGCCTTCTGAAATGGTATATATATCTGCTTATACTAAGGGATATGCTTAGTCTCTGATTTAAAGCTTCAGTATCTGAATTTTGTTGTGAAATTTGAGTACGATTCTGTAATGGCTTTAATAATCTTAAAATGTTGAGTTGTTGAAAGTTCTGAATTTTGATGCTATTTTCACTTTACTTTTACAGGGAGAAAACTACTTTGAGATTGATTTGGATGTGCACAGATTCAGTTACATTGCTAGAAAAGGAGTTGAAGGCTTCACAGAAAGGTTGAAGCATTGTATCTTGGATTTTGGCCTTACAATACAGGTAACACTTGGTCTTTATTTAGTTATATGCAGCCTGGACTTTCTACTAGCATGTAGTAAAATTTTATTTGTGCTGCTGCCCTTACAATAAATAATTAGTAGTTGGTTATTTAGCTGCAAAAGTCAAAGGCTCAAAGAAATAGGTTCCTTGATTAGTTTAATGTCTGTGGTTCGATTGAATGGTTCAATTTAATTTTCATAGCATTGGTTAGAAAATTCTAAATTATTTTTTTTGGACACGTGAAATTCTAATTCTAATTTAAATAAAAAGTGATACAAGCCCAACAGCAGGCACTAAAACCTCATATGATTTGGCATACCTTTTCCTGTAATCTGAATGTGTACCAGAAAGATTCATATGTGATGAACATTGTATTATTGATTTTGGTGGAACAGGGGAACAAGGCGGAAGACTTGCCAGAGCATATATTATGCGCTATTCGTCTGAATAAAGTTGACCACACCAATTTCAACCAGATTGGTTTTTGAGTCACCTCCTTTTAGATTCTTAGTTTTTCAATCTGTAAACACATAAAAAAAGAGTCTTAACCGCAGCATGCTTCGGAGTGATCCTATTCCCGCCGCCTCGCAGTTTCTCCTTGCAAATTGGAATGTTCTGCCTACCTAACTGTTGTATTATTGAATTCATTGAATGTAAACTAATCACAATAATATGAATGTGGTTCCAGATACCAATGATTTTTGCCAGAAGAGGAAAAAAAATATCATTGCTCTACGGTGGAAATCATTGGTAAACTCCCTTTTGCTTTTACTGTAATCAAACAAAGGCTACGATTTTTTTGTTTTTGGCCCCAGATTACATAAGGAGGTTCGGAGTTTTAGTCAAGTAATACTTTCTTCTGAATTCAAATTACAGAATGTTATCCTTTCATTTGAAAAAAGAAAAAAAAAATGCATGCATACTCACTCGAATTACTATTTTTCTTTTTAATCTACGGACACTGAATAAGAAAAGCGGCCAATATAGGTGGTCCCAAATAGGTAGTGTAAACTAGCAGTTTAGATTGTACATATATCATAAACTGGTGATACTTCTAACAAATTCGATCTCTTTTCTTCTTTTTGTTCTCTTTGTTTCCGGTTTCACATTACTCAATTGTGCATTAAGAAACTGTGCATGTACATTTAAAGAATCATACGTGCCAAACCTGGCTTGAACTGAAGATAACGAAAAGAAGCAAGATGAGGACAGGCCAGACATCGACGGCATATTTACAGGGTGGGGATGAAAGGGCACAAGCCTATCAAAATAACTGAAGAAATTCCTACGTTTTGTGATGACCCATGCAGTGCCCAAAAATGGATGATATAAAACCGGGGCATACCTTATCTTCGAACGGAGGCGACGGCGGAGACGACGGCGAACACGACGTGCTTTGAGGACTCGACTGGGCGCTTTCATTATCACCTAACATTTCTTGTTTAGGGTTCTCTTTAGTTGGCGATCCATTTTCGTTCCTTGTCGATACGGTAGGGTTAGCGGTATTTTGCGATTCTAAGGATTCGATTCGAATATTCCATACCCTACCAGAAGACCCTTGTCTGCGAAATGAACGAGTCGATCTTTGCAACATGGGTGATTTGTGATTATGAGTTTCTATCTTTTGCCTTTCTGAATCCTTTATATGTTCCTCTGCCGTACCTTGCAAGTAGTGTTATTTTTTATCCATTCAAATAATTTGTCATGTTTAATTTGGTTGATAAATGAGGTCTGGGATCTGGATTCTTTAATCTTGCGAATGCCAATATAGTAAATCCAAAGCTAAATTTATAGGCATAATTCATCATGTTACTGACAAATGATTGAAGTATAATTTTGACCGGCTATTCATTGTGGTATATATTACTATTATTGGAATTTCATTACTTTTTTTTTTTTTGGTGATGATTTTTGTCCGCGCTTGTGCTAAATAGGTATTTGCCATGTTTAGAGGTGGAATTATAATAGGACAACGTCAACTATCCCTTGGGTCTAGTTTTCCTTAATTTATGTTTACTAATTTAAATTACTCACCTATAGGCCATAGACAATAGACACTGCAAAAATGTGCTAAAATAGAAAGGGGCAAATTCAAGTCACTTATTATTAAGTTTTATGATATCATGAAACTTATATACTCCTCCGGTCCTTAATATAGGACCCAATTCTTGAGTTGGTTTTGGTCCTAAATATAAGATCCATTTTTCATATTTATCAATTTTCTCTAAATTACCCTATAGACACTCCTTCAACCATAATCAAATAGAAGAAGGAGATGAGGTATTAAAAAAGATGATTATGGTGTTTTAGGAAAAATGTGTCACTTTTTTTATAATTAACTAACTTACCTAACTTCTTAATCTAATCAAATTAGTTAAATGGGTCTTATATTAAGGACCGGAGGAGTACATATTTTAAATTTTACTGAACTTTGCCGGCTAAATTTTATGCATAAATTATAACTTTTGTTACTGGAATAAGTCATTTAATTATTTTATTTTTGAACTGGTGATCAAAACAGTAGTAAATGATGATAATTAATGATGGTGTCGCTAGTAAATCTAAAGGGTCAAGTTATTATATCTATTCTTAATTCTTAATATAATCTAGTCCCATTCCTATGGAAATCGTTCTGAGAGCACAATCTCAAATTTTCCTACTTATCGTATAGAGGATTTTGTCCTTAAAATTAATGCGACTTTAGAAGGAAAAAAAGAGAAAAAAAGGAAGAATCTAGTAATCAGTGGATCCGTCTAGGAGTAGAGGAAATGCTGCCCTAATCTCACTATCCCTGTTCAAAATAGCATCCACGAATGAGTCGTCCCCCGAAGAAGATGAAGTTCCTTCACAATATTGCGTATCACAAACTTGGCGCTCCATGCTTTCCTCATAAGCCAAGATTCCTGAATCCTCATCGCTTGCGATATTATTCGAAACTTGAGTTTGATTCTGCATCATAACTGAGGGACTCAACGACGACAAAATCCCATGCACGTCGTACTGGTTCTGCTGTTGAAACTCGGTGCACATGAGCGGGTCACTCAGAAGAAACTCGCTCCAATCAAACGATGAACAAGGAGGAGGAGGAGGAGGAGGAACAGCAGCAGCAGCAGTTGTAATAACCTGAGGAGGTGAGCTTAGTTGTGTGATATTAGATGAAGAAGATGAGGAGGGTGATGGACATGAAGGGGGAGCTTCATTATGATGTGACTGGACATTATTCTCTGGGTTTATGAATTGTGACTGCACCTCTTGATCTAGTTGATGATTAGAGACCATTAAGTTGTTGTTCGGAGCTTGTGTTTCGGTTGTTATAGTTGAGAGGCAACTAATAGTTCCCAAATCTGAAAGGACTTGAGACACAGGCTTATGGGTCACTGGGTCAATTCCCATCTTCATAAGCTTCTTCCTCAGCTTTGTGTTCCAGTGGTTCTTCACATCATTGTCTGTTCTCCCAGGGAGTCTCCTCGCAATCAAAGACCACCTGCACCCGAAGAAAAACATACAAACAAACAAGCACTTAACTGATCAAGAAGATGCAAAATTCATTTATCTCTCGAATATAACATAAAAAGGGTATGTGGTTGGCCATGACAAGTCTTTGACGCACACCAATAGCGATAGTTGATTCATTCTTAATGGGCTTGGGGTCTCTAATTTGCGCCATACAATCACACGTAAAGAATTAGACAACGTTTTGCCATGTTATTCTGCTTTCTTTTTCTGAGATAAAAACTGAAAACAAATGAATATGATGACTACCGAATATAGAACTATAATTACCTGCTTCCTATAGCTTGATGAAGGTTAATAATAAGCTCTTCCTCTTGGGGTGTGAAGCTATGATGCTTGAGATCAGGTCTTAGATAGTTAGTCCATCTAAGCCTACAGCTCTTACCGCATCTGTTTAACCCTGCAAGCAAATTCCCAAAAAGAAATGTACATATTTCATGAAGTTGAAGTGTAAGTACCACGTAAACATCACAATAATATTGCTGCTTCAGAAGGTGGGGAAGAATTTAACCAGCTTTCTTAGGAACCAGAGTCCAATTGCCAGTGCCTTGATTGGAGACATAAGCGAGTAGCTTAGCATCCTCCTCGGGAGTCCAAAGGCCCCTTTTCACATTGGATTTATCACAGCAAGGTGGCCTTCCCATTCTGCAACAGAAAATGGTGCAGAGAAGTGAGTTTAATCGGGAGGGATTAATTATGTAATGGTGATGCAATTCGCATTGTAACTTTAAAGTGGTGAAAGAAAGCTGTTAGCGTTTAAGATATGAAGAGGCAAGAAAAGCATTTGTGTTAACAAGAATTGCATGAACTTCTTCATCTTCTGTGAAATAAAACTATAAAAAACGAAACCATTTTGTATGACATCACAAACATACTGCAAGTGCCTCCCTCTCATGCTCTCTCAGCTCGCATAAGCTTGGCTCCCAACACTAAAATCTAATCAGGTACAAATCGAATGACTTTCAGTGATATTCATTTCTGTTACATGGCATGCATGCAATCCAAGCTTTTTTTTTGGTCAGGCTCTCAAACCAAGAGATGATCTTCTTCTCGTGCTACTTACGGCTCACACTCAGTTCTCTTTCTTCACAAGCATACGTATGTGATAACAAGTTATGGATAAAAGTGGTTTAATTTTTGTCCAACGTAAATGAAAGTGCCCTCATGTATAGGAAGGCCATTTATTTAGGGTGGACAAGAGGGAATCTGAAATGGAACAATTTTTTTTTTTTTTGCTACCTTCCATTAGAGGTAATCCTATTCAAAGTACTGTCGAGTACTAAATATGAGTACCTCTTCTAGTAGGGATTTGAACCTCTTGGTTCGTTACGTTGTAAGGGACTAGTCCATTCTGCTAAACCCAACTCCTGTTGCTTGAAATGGAACAATTTTAATAGGAGAGAAAGTTGAATTTCTTCAGATATTTTGTACGTGATTCTAACGGGCTCCAATAACAAAAAGGCCCATAAAATTAGATTCTTGGCATGATGGTGGTTCTCCGTTAAAGTTGCCAAAATGGGGCGGGGTTGGAGGACACATGCTCCCTCTTCGTCCATCAATCATACTTTTCAGCCTAATCGCTAATTCCATCCTTTACAGTAGAGAAAAATCTTCCTTTTTATTTAAAACAAATTATTAAGTTAAAGGATTGTCCTCGAGACAACAGTTGCGATCTTAACAAAAATATTGATTTATTTCTTGCTCTCTCTAATAAACCCTACATGTATATATTTCATCTTTTATGGATAAAAATGTACAAAGATAATTAGATGAAAACTTATAAAGTGGTAAACTTTTGATATATTGCAATAATATAATATTAGAGTCAAATACTTTTGTATAAAAATAAAATATATAATTTTATTTGTATAGACTGTAAATTTATTTACATTGAAATTTATTCTAATACGTGTAATTATATAAAATATTAATTTGTTTATTATGTTATGGTCTTTTTCGCCCAATTATTAGATCACGCTATTTAGTAATATTTGCAGGAGGATAATTCACCGGTAAAAGGTCTCTCCATTTCCTATAGGGTCCATCTCGCTCCACTCCCCCTCAAACGACGTTGTTCTCTTACGACCCGCACTTGTCTCACTATAAGCACACAACTCTCTCTCTCACACACATTCTGCCACTGAAGTGCAAATAGAAACTTTCTCCAAACAACTCAAAAGAAAAAGAAAAACAACGTCTTTCTAGTGTCTCCTTCCTAATTGAAAGTTGAAACCAGGCCTCTACAGGTTCTTGTTTCCATCACTGACAAAGTATCCAGATTTGATTAGCATAAGAATTAAAACACCTCAAATAAAGACGAATAATGAGCATCTAAATGAAATGACAGCCTCTGTAACTTTTAGTCCGTAGAGCAGCTTATTGTATGCACAAAAAAGAAGCCAAATCCGCTATCCCTCGATGACGGTGTTGCTTCCCACCCAAGTTGCTCATCAGAGGCTCCTTCATCAACCTCTGAGGTATGAAAAGGGTTGCTCCAAGGGGTGAGCCAAAAGAGAATCGCCAGCCCAGTAAAGGCATCGTTGAAGTGGGAGAAGGGGTGGGTATATCAAAGAAAAAGGCGTTTTAGCGGTCTTTGCAACATATATGCTTTACAATATATATATATATATATATATATATATATAGCAGTTGAATGAATGTGGAACGGAGGAGTTACTTTTAGATGCAACCTAAGAGACCAAGTAATGCAAGGCAAGAATTGTTGCATTCAATTGGCGAGTCAATCAGTATCTGTTGTTCAACAAGCAAATTCACGAGCATAGAGGGTGTGAAAGAGCGGTTGGGCACAAGGGCAGGAGGAATGGGGGCGAGGAGTGTAATGGCAAAGTCGGTGTTGTGACCAAGGAACCAAAAATCGAAGCAAATCAATCGGTTCAATAAAAAAATCAGTGAATCAGCCAGTGATTTGGTTTGGGTATTAAAATGGTTAAGAGTTGAACCGGTATCAAACTAGTCAAACAGGTAAAAATCAATTTGAATGATTATATTGGTATTGACTCTATTTTTTCTCATTTAGCTTCTCATATCTCAGTCACTATGGATTTGAATTGATTTTAATGACGATTGTAGTATCAATGATTATTAATTTTAATTATTGATGAATAGTAAAGATAAAAAATTTTAATGCTGCTCCACGTTATTATTACAATCAAACTATTGTTATATTTTCTTATATTTTGTTATTAATGATTATTAATATTGTTGTATTTTGTTATTTTCTATTAAATTATACTCATCCGGTCCTTAATATAAGACCCATTTAACTAATTTGATTAGATTAAGGAAGTTAGGTAAGTTAGTTAATTATAAGAAAAGTAACACATTTTTCCTAAAATATCATAATCATCTTTTTTAATACCCCCTCTCCCTCTTCTATTTGATTATGGTTGAGGGAATATCTATAAGGGTAATTTAGAGAAAATTGATAAATATGAGAAATGGGTCTTATATTTAGGACCAAAACCAACTCAAGAATTGGGTCCTATATTAAGGACCGGAAGAGTACTATTTTAATATGACCATTTAATCCTGAGTTGACACCAATCTAACTAACTGACTCTTGAACTACAACTTTAATCAATGTAGTGTCCAGTGCATTTTGTTGTTCCTTGGTTGTGATTTGAGGGTTGTGAGCTTTTCCTTTTAATCTAGGTGATATCTTTTAATCTCCGTGAAGGTCAAATAAAATGGAGACTTTCTGCGCTGCTTTCCACGTGTACCAATAAGAGAAATAATACTACTATTTGTTTCGTTTTTTTGTTTTTTGTTATGTTCTACACACTTCCAAGAAAACCCAATAGAAGATAGACAGAATTGATAGAAACCCCATAAATGGTAAACAGAAAAACCAGGAAAGTACCAAAAGAAGCCAATAAACGAAAAAATCAAGTCTTTTTTCTTAAAAGATCCTAAGTTAAGTCACCAATATCAAGGATCGACCCCGACTAGTGAGCTCTCCATGCAACAGCCAGATGGTGTATCTCTCTCCCTCCTAGAAATCTTTCTAAAATTTTGCCGCCGTACTAAGTAGGAGAACGCTTTCCCCTTTGTTTTTTCCCTGAGTGCTGTAGAGTGGAAGTTCTGATTCCAATAAGCATTCAACATTTTTAACATCATGGCAACATTTGACGAGGATCGAATTCTCCCTTTTGTGCTCCTTCTTATGTTTTGGGCTTCCAAGCCAAACGAGCCTGGATATACTTTTGCCTTCTTGATGTTTGTTTTGCAGGTAATAGCAGAGCCTTTGGAGAAAGTAACTCGCTGTTTGTCAGTTTTGGCATGAAAAAAGTCGTGCAGATGTTTGAAGGCCATTGGTTCTAAGTAGATTATTGAACAGAAAGAAGATGTTGTGTCAAGAAAGAAAGAAACAAGTAGAACGGTGGAGGAGGACGGAGATATAAAAAATGGAATGAAGCTGGCACCCCGGGGGGGGGGGAGGGGGATGGAGAGGACTTACGGAGGCAAACATACTTCCCGCCCAAACATGGAGAGAAAAGAACACAATCTGCAATGGAATGTTCTGATTCTTCCTTTCTTTTTTTGCTCATGACATTTTATTTTTCTTTCTCAAAACATCAAATAGAATTGTGAATTCTCACCCTTTTTTTTTTTTGCAAATCGCCTTATTTATGTTGTAAATCACTTGATTTTGATTATTTATAATATTCAATTTTTTCTCAAGAAATTTAGTGAAATTATGAATTCCAATATATCTCTTGCAAATTGCTTAATTTGTGTTGTGAATAGCTTTACTTCAATTGTTCTAGCAATTTTTGATTTTGATTTTCCTTTTCACTGAACTTAAATAGAATTGTGAATTCCCGTATACCTCTTGTAAATCACCTAATATATGTTGTGAATCGCGTTATTTCAGTTGTTCATGCATATCTGGACACTTATATTTGTTTGTTATATATATATATTCTTTGTATCATATGATTAAATGGATTGAATGGCTTAGTGGTTATAATTATTTTGGTGTGTCAAAGAGTTATGAATTTAAACCCTCAATGACCTTATTTTTAAAAAATTTCTCCAACCACTGGAGCTCTGCCACTGATCTCCAGTTAGGTCGGTGACAGGAGCTCCAGCGAAGTTGATATTTTTTATAAATGAATAATATAAGAGCATAATTGTATTTTCACCCATAATATTTAATTTCATTTATTAATTTAAACCTCCCCTAACCACCTTATTCTCCCTCCTCTTTTTTTCACTTAATAAAATTTGAAATTTATGGTTTAACTTTATGGTCCAAATTGACCAAGCTTGTTTGGCAATCACGTAACTAACTTTTCTGAGCCAAAAAGTCAATTTGCCCAACACGTGTGATATTCGGAAAGATGAATTTTTTTAATTGAAGTTGAAATAACCTTTTTCTTTTTCATTTGTCATTTTTCTTCAGATTTAAATCTTTAGAACTGACTTCTCTACATGCCATTCAAGCAAGCTAGTTTTCTTCACACGTCATCTAAGCAGTTTATCAGTCTTAAATTTTTTTCACAAAAATGCATCTAACATAAATAACATTAAACTAACTTTTATCTCAATTGTTTACAGAAGTGAGTTAAAAATAAAGTTGATTTTACCGACATCAATCCAAATGAACAATCCCCAGACGGGGGTAAAAAGAAATGGCATTACGTTCCATGAGAAAAAGCGCATTCGAGCGTATCTTTCACCCATCTTTGGAAACTACATTCTAGCGTTTCCCCTTCTTTCAATTGGGGATTGGTGAATAAATTAAGAATTCAGTCATAAGCAGCAGGAGTTGGGTGGGGGCCCAGGGAAAATGAATGTTATCTACAAGAAACTCATTTTGTATGGATTCAAAAACGCACGTGAGAGTGAGAGTAGCCCCTAGGACGTACAGACATTGCAGCTCTTCATACAGAATCCTTTGACTTCCTCATTCCCAACCATGTAAAGGGGATTCTTCTCACATTCCCCTACTTTAGCCCACTTGGAGCAATTTACATTCTCATCCACACATTCCCCGTCGTTTCTTCTCATGATTGGTTTGTCAAAGTCCCTCACGTGAATCCACTTGGTTGCAGACCACTTCTCACCCTCAATCACCGGGCAGCTTCCATGCAAACTCAAAGGATCCGTAGTTGCATCCAGATGCAGACTGAAGAACAGCAGGGCATCACCCTTATCTGGTTTTACTGTTACATAAGGAAAAAAGGAACGTGTTAGATGCCATGCCCCACAAAAATGAGACAAAAGCTATTTGTTACATGATATAGACAGCCATGACAAAGCCGACAGCAAAATATCAAATATGAAAACAGCACGGCAACTGAAAAATCTGCCTGCTTGCTTATCAATAACAACATAAATCTTTTGAAAGGAAGTTTTCCATGAAACAGCCCCTGTATCACCATATTTCACAATGAAGCAGCTAATGGACTCAAGCATGTTGTTGAGTATCAAAACAAACACCCCCCACCCCAAAAAAGACAAAAAAAAAGAAAAAACCTCTGCCTGTTGATTCTGGCGAATAACTCAATCAAGATCTTAAATCCACAGTTATGCTTAACAGCAAGCAACTATATGTAGATTCACAGCTGCTAGCAGGGAGCCTTTTTTGGTGTTCTGTTTTTTTTTTTTTTTTGGGAGGGGAGGGGTTGGGTGATTCAACATCAGCAGTGAGGAAATTCAGTGGACTTGGCACCTCAAACAAAAAGCAGTATGACAATGAAAATTTCTCAAATAAAATGTTAAATAGGAAAAAAAAAAACTACAAATACCGCCTCGTTTATAATCTGGTTATATACAACAGGCTAAAAGGGTTAACAGCAGAATATTGCTACCACGAGGATCACAAGGGCATGCCCATTTGAAATACTTCAAATTTTCATTTTCAAGTACAATAATAACAAACCAAACTTTCAGAAAATGTGGCAATAGTTGTCAAGAAGTCCTAGTATTTGTACCTGCATAGCCTTTCTTTGCACATTCAGACCAGCTATCATCCTTTATCTGGGATAACCTTCCCTAAAAATGACAAAAGATCAATTAACAATAATGGATCTATTTAAAAGGAACCTTAAGATAACCATATTCATCATATGCTCCTTACCTCAGAGTTGGGAAAAACAGTCTCGCCACCCTTCTCCACACTAGACAAATACATCAGCACAGTGGCAATCCGATGGCCTCCCAGCTGCTGATTAGCCTTGTCATGGAAGTAATCAAAATGTGGCTCATACTTCTGACCATTCTCATAGTGCAATATTTGAATAGACTCACCATTCTCTGATGGCATATAAGAGACCAATAAACATAAAAGAGTAATCACACCAGAAAAAGAGACAAGGATTGAAATGGACAAAGCATAATATTGCACCCACCTATTGGAAGGAAGGTCCATGCGGCAATTCTGGCTTCAATACTAGCCACTATTTCATCCTTCGAGATAAAACAGAAAAGGGAAAGTAATTGACATGGCTTTCAAGAATAAAACTCAAGCTCATGAAGTACAAGCTACAGCTAAAATCGTCACAACAATCTGATATTCTAAAGTACAGATAAAATGAAAATTCTATCAAACTCCACAATGGGACAGGAGCTACAATCCTTCTCAGGCAGCGACAATGGCTTTCAGCTTTCTAGGCCAATGTACCCAAGGTTAAATCTAGAAATATCAAGCTGGGTAATTCTCATTTACATTCCTAAATTAGATTCACCAGATGAAAGAAAGATTAACTGATCTGGAACATTCCTCGTCACTAAACACCAATTTCCTTAAAAGACAAAGAGAACCACGTGTTTTAAAGAGGATACAAAGCACAGTGATAAACTTTTGCCAGTTACGTCACTCTTCAGGTTAAATAACATACTTGCATGATAAGCTTAAAAGTATTCACACAGTTCAGAATGAACTTCTTGATAAACATGCGATGTAGAGACAAGAGAAACAATCTTCTAATCCTTCTCGTCATTTAGAATAAAGCACATCATCATCAAATAGGTGCAGCTAAAGAGGATCCACAATTAATACCTGAGCCTTGGAAAGAAACATCCCAGAGCTTGTTCTGACTTCACTCATTATACTTTTACCCGATTCATTATCCGCTACCATAGATTTCTCTAGCTTGTCCTTGGCCTGATAGTACAATTCGGGAATTGAAGTTAACATATTCTTCGGGTAGAAAAAAAGACCAACAGCGGCCATTTGACCAAAACAAAAGAAAACTAACCAGATTGATCAATGGTCACACTCTTCGTCGGATAAAAATTTCTTGTATATAAAAGCCCTGCGTACGGTAAATTTCACAGAAAAGGGGGTAAACTCAATGCAACTCTCTCAGCCAATGCAACCGGGGAGGGAAAAAAACACACAACAAACAGGTAAAAACCTCGGACGCCAGGAGAGTTGAGTGACCCGAGTAGGATCGAATTTCACTGATGAGCTGCCCCTGTTGAATCCAAGCACCGATCCATGCCTGAAAAAGATTAGAAAAACTAATTGAAACATTTTATTAAATGTATTAAACACGCGCCAACCAAAAGAAAAAGTGTGGATGCGTGGTATTACGTGGTCTTATCTAGGCCCAAGGCCAGCGATCTAATGGAAGAAACAGAGAGATCAGGGAGTAAACAGAGAAAACAGAGCAAAATTGCCAGAAGGTATCCAGAATCCATGGGAAAGAGGGGGAGATGGAGTCAATGGGATCGTAGAGAAAGGAAAGAGGAAGAGCTGGGAGGGAGGGGGATTTTATAGAAATGGGAGAAAAGAGACAAATAGGCAATGTAGGAGTGAGAAAACTGAAACGAATCAGAGCGACGGGGAAGTGGAAATGTCGCGCGGGTGCATTCTTGTGGGATTTTATTTCCAAATGTTGAAACTTTCAGACAAATTCAAGCAGCGCCCACTGGATTTGGCTTCCACTGACTTTCTCTGCGTCCTTTTACTATGAGCTCCTCCAGTAATCCTTTCTCGAACCTTCCTTCACCGTTCCTCTATCTGATTCTCAGTAAAGCACATGTGAAAGTGAAACATCTTACACGGTTTCTCAGTTTCTTTCTTTCTCTCTCCCCCCCCCCCCCCTAATTACGTAGGCCTTTTTTTAATCAAATTCTAATCACTTAGACTCTTTTTTTTTGGCCAAAACGTAGACTTTTTTTTTTTTTTTGGACTCAGCCAAAACGTAGACTTTTAATTATACTTATATGTGTGTGTTCTGAGGACATGATATATTGATGAATTTAATTATTATTAATATACTACCTCTGTTTTTTAATACTCCTCCGATCCTAATTATAAGACCCAATTGACTTATTTGAAGAGATTAAGGAAGTAAGTTAAGTTGGTTATTTATAATAAATAAGTGTTGTCATTCCTAAAATATCCTTGCTAATTAAGTATATTGGCTAAAACTATCATTATTAGAAGGATTATCTTGGAAAAAAATGCATAAATATAAGAGACAAAATGGATTGGGGTCTTATAATTAGGACCAAATAAAAAGTCAAATGGGGTCTTATAATAAGGATCGGAGGAGTATAAGGTCTCGTTTGACTTTTATTTTCATTTTAATTATAAGATCCTAATTGATTTTGTCTCTCATATTTATATATTCTTTCTCAAAATAGTTATTTTAATAATGGTAGTTCTAGCTAATAAATTTGATTAACAAGAATATTTTAGGAAATATAGTAATTATTTATTATAAATAACTAACTTAACTTATTTATTTAATCTACTCAATTAGTCAATTAATTTTTATAATTAGGACTGGAGGTAGTATATTATACTGTGTGCATCTCACAATTAATTTATAAATAGAGCGATTCTTTCTTCTTCTTTTTTTAAGTATCTAATATATATTTATTAGAAGTAATTATGCTAGATAGACGATTGAATATGACATGTCTCTTAAGAATTCGACAACTTTTTCAATTTTTTTAATAACCAGGATGCTTTTGTTAATTTCTTTTCATTTTCTGGATTTAACATTTCAATTCGAATTCCATCTCATTCTGAATGCGACACCGGATTGTCAGCACATATACGAAAGCGAATGAAACTCATTTCATTTTTCTTTTTGGTTTGAAATTGAATAACATATTTTTTTTCCTCTAATGAATGAATAACGCTTCCATTATCTCAATGCAGAGAAACAGCAATATCAGACAAAATGCAACCCTTGGAGATCCTGCCTGGTAAAATACTATTACCAGAAGGGATATTTTACGCCCGTTTGGTAATAACGAAGCAAATCCAAACCACAGCAGCATACTTCAAATCTTGTAATAACAAATTAATAATGGCGACCCAAACCAAAACTTAATCCGTAATTTACTCATTTTCTTTTTAGGTAAAGTCAGGAACGTTTGCAACTGGATTGTTTCTTTTTTTTGGGCAACCGTTACATATATTGGTATGGGCAGACATCAAATTCTCACGATTGGGGCTTTTTCTCTTTTTGGACACAACAATTTTAACTTTCCTGATTCATTTGAGTGGAGCCTAAGATGAGACAGAATCTGTGAAGTTGACGTTAGAATGAGTCATTAAGCCGATGAAACGCTCAGCCTCAGCGATATAAAAAATAAAAAATTGATATTAGTATTGTCCTAGTTATTTTACTGAACTTCTCGTAATCTCGTGACATTCAAATGCCTTCCAAAGCTATATTTATTTCTCCCCTTCATTTAGAATTTAGGTGGATTTTAATGAATAGATGCATAAACTTTCCAATTACTGAATATATTTTCAATTCAGTATAGAAAATTAGAAATAAAACCAATCAAAACTCTTCATAATGTCGGAGGCCATGTGGTTTTTCCCACCGCAAAAGGTGATAACAAGGGGACCTCCAAATTCGGCCTAAATGAAAGAGGGCGTCCAATGAAGTGAGGGATGGGGCCGCCCCAAGAAAACCCAAAAGGCTAACCCAATTTGGAGGTCGCGCAAGATCTATTTATGCAGCTTGTTCGTACTTTCCCTGGACCACAAATTTTAATAGTGAAATTTGTGAGAATTTCTTTTTTTTTTTTAATAAAAAGACAATTCTTTTGTTGTGCACAGAATAATTTTATAAGGTACTGTTAACACTAAACGTACGAATCTCTCTCAATAAAAATTCAAACCTTAATTTATTTTAACTAAATTAAATATAAGATGAGTACACAAAAAACGTCAGCCCACAAGTAATTTGATCTTCGCCCAAATCAACGTGAGAGAATTTAGAAAGGAAGCCCGCCATTAATCAATTCACAACAAAACAAATTAACTTTTTTTAGAAAGAAAAATTTTCATATCACATTTATAGAATAAAACCTTCTCATTTAGCTTCCTTCTTGTCTTTTGGATTTGCATTTATAGCATAGCAAGAAGCACTTCCCTATTTAATGCATTGGACAGTATGGTCGAGGATGGGGAACAAATATCATTTCATTTTAATTTAAATAATAATATTTTATTTTAGATATGACTGCGTTTCATCAAATCAGCCCAAACATGTTTTATTAAATTTTAATTATAATCTCATTTGAAAATTTTAAATTATAAGATTTTTTTTCATGGCTAGTTAGTGACATTCTCTCTCAAAATTGAACACACGAGTTATACTTATTTTATTTTGCATAAAAAGGTTATAAATATATTTTATTAATTATGTGTGAAACATAATCAATATTTATTGGGTCAGTATTGAATAATCTTTTGATTCAAATAAAATTTTTTTTATCATTTTCAATATAAAATAAATAATATTGAAATAAAAATAAAAAAGCATACACTTTAATATGTCAAATTTCGATTTAAAAAATGGATGGATATATACTTTAGCTTAAGGGTAATTTGATAATTGCACTTCAAGAGACATTGGTACACATTGATATTTTTTTTTTTTATGATAGAAAATAAATGAAAGCTTAAACAAAGGAGAAGGAAGTAATTGTCTATTTTTGTCCTATTAATTGTCAGGTTAACAGAATCAATAAAATACAATAACAATACATCCAATATCTAATGATTAATAACATCGCAGACAATACTTGTAAAAGACGGAAGGGGGGAGTTACAGAAGCATCTTCGCTGTTTTCTTTCTCACAATGAAACGCCACGGCCTCTCTCTGAACTCTCCATCGATTGCTTCTTAAATGAGAAAAGTAATAAGACGCCATGATTAAAGTATCATCATCAGGAAAATATGAATAACAAAGGCTGAATCTGCAGAGGAATAAAGCACCAGTACTAGGGAGCAATATTCAAGCAAGCTACTCATACTTTGTGAGCCAGCATAAGAGAGCAAAAGGATCAGAAAGACAGAGACGCCACATTTTTTTCACTTTGCCAAATGCATCCAGTCCCACTCCACCCCACAACTTTTCTCGTGTCTTGTCTAGTTCATTTTCTTTTTTCTTTTACAAAGTTCATTTCTTGACAAAGTTTCGGGGATTTTCGGGGTCAATTCAGATATCAGACAAATAGTGACAAAGCAAAGTGGAGAGAATCTGATATGCAAAGTTAGACCCACAAGAGGAGGTCCCCTTGCAACAGGATAATAAAGAAAAAAATGGAAAAGGAAATTGGCTAAAAGTTGCCTCCTCTTTTCGTTCCTGTTTTATGTAACCTTTCTCCGTTTTTATTTCTATCCCTTCTTTTCTTTTCTTGATGAGGAATAGCTAAATGCCCATAGGAAAAAGATTTCATTGATGAAATGAATCGAATGCCAACAATGTACATGGGCCATTACAGCTAAGCATTGTTTGGCTGCTAACAAAGAAATTATCACTAAAAGAATTCAAAATCTAAGTATGGACCCGAGGAGGACCTGTTTGAATCAGTTGTAGCAGCACCTTTTTCACTAGGAGGCACTGAAGATGACTTGGATGTCTGGTTCATAAATGAAAGATCGAGTGGTTTTGGGATCTCAGGGGGATGGATGCTGCGAATGAGAGCCCAATTAATGCCTTCAAAGAAATGATGTTGTTTGATCTCAGTGGCTCCTCTTTTGAATCCAAGCCTCTTCTGTGGGTCTTTCACAAGCAATCCTCTTATCAAATCCTTCGCTGCAAAACTGATGCTTGATCCCTCAGGGAACTTTAGACTCTGACCCACGACATTGAACAACGTTTCTCGATTCCCATTGCCTTTAAATGGGGTCTTCCCAAACAACAATTCATACAGGAAAATACCAAATGTCCACCAATCCACTGCACTCCCATGACCATCACCTCTTATGATTTCAGGAGCTAGATATTCATGAGTCCCGACAAATGACATAGAGCGAGCATTAGTTGGCTCAGCAATTAGTACTGGAAGTGAGTCTGAATTCGCTGAGCTGTGTTTTTCACTCTTTGGTTTGGTCTTTTTTGAGCTGAAGAAATGGGGCTTGAAGCAAGATGGCTGCAGGCATGAAGGTTCAACGCAAACGGGTAATTTGCAGGGTGGATCGATGCATGAAGATGGCTGGATGCAGTAGGAGGATATCTGACAAGATGGTTCTTTACTGGACTGAACAAGGGTGGGACTTACACAGCATCTAAGTGACAAGTCAAAATCAGAGAGCATGATATGCCCATCTTCTCTTACCAGTACGTTTTCTGGCTTCAAGTCTCTGTACACAACACCCATCATGTGTAGATACTCCAGAGCAAGAAGCACTTCAGAAGCGTAAAACCTGCAAAAAGAAAATGAAGCTATCAGAAAGCAGATTCAAAAACTTTGAGCCTAAAAGCATTCCAGCGTAAGTAGAACCGAATGATTATGGAGGCTTTAATTTCCAGACAACCATTTACATAACCATGCAGACAGCAAAATACCAACATTAGGTGGTGATTATAATGACTAGTAATGATTGGCAACAGGATTGAGTTCCTTTTACCCAAGAGTCTGCCGGACCAATAACAGCTATCGATTATGCAGGTGAACAGGGAAATAAAACTATATGCCCTTCCCTGAAATCATAGCTGAGGAAAATAGCAGCTTAAAAAATGCAGCCAAAAACAAAAAGGTAAACTTCTTTGGACTGTGGAACAAATTTCCCTTCCAATCTTTAATCGAGACTTGCCAAACAGAAGATTCCGCATTCTTCCCTTCAATGACATGAAGCTTGATTGACTCTTTACATCATTAAGGAGCAAAGCAAAGAGAATTAGTAATATCAGCGTCAAGTAATTGTGCCATTATAAACTAACCTGGCAGCTTGCTCTGTGAAATGCTTGCCTTGCTGCCGCTGGCGGAGGGTATGAAGATCCCCTCCACTGCAAAACTCCATGAGCAAGCAAGAGAACTTCTCAGTCTCAAAATGTGAATAAAGGGAGGGAAGAAAAGGATGGTCCAATAAACTCAAAATGTCTCTCTCAGTCTGAGCTCTTGCCAATTTCTTCCTTCCAGCCAACATGCCCTTATCCATAACCTTCATGGCGAACAAACACCCCATCCCTCTGAGCTCAGCCAAATACACACTCCCAATATCCCCAAAACCTAGCTTCTTCAACAGCCTGAAATGCCCCAAACCCAATTCCCCATCTTTCCCCTTCACACATTGTATCGCATCCCACCTAATATCGTTCCCCTTGTGAGGCTTGGAAGGGCTAAAGCTCCTAAAACTTCCCTCACTGGCTTCACAATCCGTCATAGATCCAGTGCTCCTCTGAGTCTCAACGTTGCTGCTACTACTACACATGCTAATACTAGCACTGCCACTAACATTGGGGTCCCGGCAGCTACTAGCAATGGGAGATTCAGCATCATTGTGGTCAGCATTCTCGGGTGGTGGCTTGTCCATGGATCAGCCAAGGGTTGGTTCAATGGAGGAAGTGTGAGAGAGGAAGGTTCGGTTAAAAGTGGGTTCGGTCAAGTTGGTGGGGGTGTGTGACCGAGGCGGTCAAAGAGAGAGCGAGAGGGACGCGGGCGCGAAGGGAGCTGAACATGGGGACCCAAAAGGAAGGGTAAAAAATAATAACTTAAAAAATGTGAAAAAACAGAGAGTTCAAATTTGAAATGTGAGGGAGATGAGATGAGATGATATTGAATTTGCTGATACACCCGATGACTGGGTTGGGTTTTGAGACCAGGCTCTCTCTTGCACAGTTCCAGAAAGTGTTACAGCTCGGGGACAAAAATTACAGAGGAAGAGAGAGAGAGAGAGAGAGAGAGAGTGGCCCTAATTACGAGGACGACAAAACAAGGGCCCTTCAGATTAAAAAAATACACTCTCATTCAGTCATTCAACCATTCAAGACTGTTGCTTCGGCGTGTAGGCGGAATTTGGAGTTCCAGCGACACACGACTATGGGGTTTGTATATTACTAACTCAGAATCTTGACCGTCCATCTTCTGAGGATAAGATCATGATCATCCCGGTTTGGTTGCGATGATGCAGCGCAGGGGACTCGCTCCAAACTCCAAAGCACTGCCTTTTTTTATTTTTATTTTTTTGCGAGTCACAACTCACAGGGAGAGAGGAGTGTGAGGGAAAACATATGCAAAAGTAATATGGAATGGGTGGTGAATTTGGATTCCAGTGGATATTCCCGAGAACCACAAATGATAGAGCAGGGGGTTAGTAAATCTGGGCCCGCCACAACGAACCTTGTCATAAATCAAGAAAAAAACAATGGAGAAAGTCATGAATGAATCTCTGCAGTTACTGCGCTCCGAGTTTTCTATTGATAAGCTTCAACCTACTTATTGCGAAATTTAAAAAAAAAAAAAAAAACTCATCGCCAACACATGCAAACCAATATGCTAGCGTTTCGATAACTAGGGGGAAAAAACGAACAAAGAAACTTCACGCGCAGCATCCTAGATGGTACTTTTTTTTTTTAATATTAAAGTAAAACGATTCATTAAAGTATGCCCAAGAGTTAGAGAATTAAATTCAATTCTAAATATAATATTTTACTTTATTTTGTTTTTTGAACTTTTTTTTTTTACCAGCAGTCTTTTGAACTATTTGATTGCAAGTATTTAGTAAGTTTGCATCAAGAGATTGATTTAGTGTAAATGATTTAAAAATATTTTAAAAAATCAAAATATTTTTTTCATAAATAAATAATTTGATTAATTAAATTTTTTTAATCTATTCAAATTAATTAAATAGATATTATATTTTAAAACATCAAAAGTATATTTGTCAAATTAATTTAGGAGATGGTAAAAATAACTCTCATAATTTCACAAATTGATTATATACTTTTTTTCAAGCTTTAGGGGTGAGCTTTCAATTTATTTTTTTTCATTTTATACATACAAACATGTCAGCATTATACTATGAGATCTTATCTAAGTATTGTAGGTAGTGCCATCATTTTGGCAACTTGTCATTGACTTAAAATAATATTTTATTTACCCAAATAAACTTTTAAAAATATACTTTTTAAAGGTTTTTTTTTGGGGAATATTGGACACGGTATCCAAAAGAGGCTGTATTTGACTATGGGTGTGTTTGGATGAAACTAAACCGTGGTTTGGAAAAGTGATTCTGGAGAATAGATTCTGGGGAGAATAGATTTTGTAAACAAGTGATTCTGAGAAGTGAGAGTGTTTGGATAGTTGTTATCAGAAGCACTTTTTATATATACAAATTACTAAAAAAAAGACATAAGTTAATATGATAATTACTAAAAAAATAGATTTTATGATATATTTTAATTTGAAGGAATAAAATTGTTAATAATATATTTTTTACCAACATAATTAATAATACATAAGATAATATAATTAATAAATAATTAATGTGTATATATATTTATAAAATATAAGATTAAATATGTTTATCAAAAAATATGTTTATAAAAAAAATAACAAGATACATATCATATAGGCTCTCACACTCTCCCTTTTTTCTCCAAAAGCAAAAAAATTTTGCTTTTTCCAAAACCATGGTTTTGACCCAAAACCATGGTTTTGGTTTTTAGAGGGGGTGTTTGGGTGATTGACACCCCAAACCATGGTTTGGGGTGTCACCCAAACACACCCTATATATGTGTACAATTCCTTGCTTGACCCATAATCGCTGTAATGTAAGGCTGAGCAAGAAGAGAGAGAGAAAACGAAAGTAAAAAAATAAAACTAAGATGAATTCGTAGTGATCTATTTATTGATAGAGCTACAATATACTACTTTCGGTCCTAATTATAAGAGTTAATTGACTAATTTAAGGAAATTAAGGAAATAAGTTAAGTTAGTTATTTATAATAAATGTATGCTGTCTTCTCTCAAATATTCTTACTAATCAAGTGTGTTGGTCAAAACTATAATTATTAGAAAGATTATGTTGAAAAAAATTGCATAAATATTAGAGACAAAATAGATTGGGATATTATATTTAGGACAAAAATAAAAGTCAAATGAAGTCTTATATTAAGAACTGGATGTAGTATATAATATGTACATTGAGATAATCTCGCGATACTATTGTTACATGATTACAATCTGATATATATCATATAATATCTTAAGATTCTAATTTGAACCAGTCTTGATATCACGTGCTGTTATGCATGCGGGTTTTATTGTGCTGGGCCAAGAGAGTTGGATCTAATGATCTGCTAACAAGAAGAAACACACTTAGGAGGAACTAACCCTACTTAGAATATGCCAAAACAAAATCCCCTTTGTTGAATTTGAAACGAGGGAGCAGGACTGCTCTCCTGAACGAGCAAAAAGTAACGAGATGTTTAAAAAAGCCCGAAAATATTCTTTTAATAAAAAATGGGTTTAAAATAATTTATTCATTTAATACAAAAAACACGTAATGTCGAGCTGCTTCTTAAAAAAGAAAAAAAAAAATCCTCGTTGACATTTCTTAGCCTCGTCGGAGTGGCGATGATATAGCAAGTAAATCACTTATGGAGTAAGCAACACGCGATTGCTAGCTAGAGCCTAGAATCACTGGCTTGATTTTCGCGTCTCGAGGCTGAGAAAACCATGTCTCTGAAGTCTGAAGCCATTTCTGAATATCTTGAGGTTGAATTTGAAGTCCCACAAGAGACACGTATCCAAATAGATCCTCATCTACATTTCACCCAAGAGACGCCAAAAGAATAATATTGATGCTTTCTTCTTCAGGATAACAATTAAAAACCAAATCAATTTCATCTTAAAATAGAAGATCCTAATTTACTTTATCTCTCATATTTATCTATTTCTTTTTAAAATAATCTCTGTAATAGTTGCACATATTAAAGTTTTCATCAAATAGTAGTTCTAACTAATATTTATAATTAAAAGTATTCTAAGAGAGATAACACATATTTATTATAAATAATTAACTTAACAAATTTTCTTAATCCGCTCAAGTTAGTCAACAAGCTCTTATATTAAGACTTACAGATAGTAGTAAATATTAATCCCTTGACTTCTTGAATTTATTATTGAAAGATTTTATATTATATAATGAATATAAGTAAGTTAATTTGATTTTTTTTTAATTTTATATTATATATTAGCCGGAGATAATGCAGTATACACGTTCTGTATTCTGCAAAGTTCATGAACGCACAAGTGGGGGAAAAGAAAAGCCTAAAAATCCTCCCGATGTCACGGTTTTGCCTGATCACACATATATGCCACGGGATGATTGATGTCATGGATTAGACGATTCACCTTTGAGCATACAGCAGAGCAAACTCGTCCGCCTTCGCAATAAAGCAAAACCCTCACACTACCCCGATCTGGTGTGCACGTGTCATCTCCTGTATTGCTCTTACCTTACCCGGGGTTTGCTATCTAGTATCTACCAACTCAAGCAATGACCATACTTGAAGGCCAAAGTTCCCATAATTAATTATTTCCTTCTCCTTCTTCCTTTTCTCTAAAGAATATCCTCACCAAGCCTTAAAGTACAATTAAACAAGAACTCATCAGTTCAGCTCTTAATTGCCTGTACTATATATAGACACACGCACGCACCCACCCTAAATGGTCATTAGCGCAGAAAATTGCGTTCATCAGAATCAAGACACAATGCCGTTGCTTCACTCTCTTGCTACTTTCTTCCTCCTAACCTGGCTTTCCTCTTGGCATGGTATTCGAATTCCAAACTCTTGATCATCATTTAAAGCACTTAGAAATTAGTTCACCATCGAATTCTAAAATATACAACCATAGAGGATATACTTGTAATATTTCCTAATATTTACCGCTTCTATGCCTTGTGTGTACGCATATATATACAGGTGATACTGCAGGGGCACACGAAGTCACCTTCTACATACACAACAAATGCCCATTTCCAATATGGCCAGCGACTGCGCCAAATAATGGCCAGCCAGTCATAGCTGACGGTGGATTTTACCTTCCTCCGGGCCAGACCCGCCGAGTCGTGGCTCCATGGTCATGGAGCGGCCGTATCTGGGCCCGAACCGGGTGTAACTTCGCCGCCGGGAACTGGAGACCAGCCTGCGAAACCGGAGACTGTGACGGAAGGCTGGCCTGCAACGGCCTCATAGGCACTCCACCGGCAACACTAGTCCAAGTGTCGCTTCAAGGTGACAGAGGCAGGCCCAACTTCTACGACGTGAGCCTGGTCGACGGCTATAACATCCCCGTCTCGATCACTTCCAGAGTAATAAACCCTAGATGCATCATCCAAGGTTGCTCGAAGGATCTCAAGAGGCTGTGCCCGGCGGAGCTTGAGGTGTTGAATCGTGAAGGAGAGGTTGTGGCGTGCAAAAGCGCTTGTTTGGCTTTTGATAACGACATGTTCTGCTGTAGAAACCAATTTGGAAGTGCAGAGAGGTGCAAGCCCAGTGTGTACTCCCAGATATTCAAAGAAGCATGTCCGTGTTATTATAGCTATGCCTTCGACAATCCTCCACCATTGGTCAGCTGTTCGTCCTCTGAGTATATCGTCACGTTTTGTCCTTCAGGGTGGGGTTCCCAGGAGCACTCTTACGACGTGATTTCCATGCAGAAATTACCTTCTTCTAATGGTTTATTGACTTCTATTGGCATGTATTAACCTCGTCATTGAGTGTTCATGGTAGTAATAAGCAGGTGAATCTAGGATATTTAAAATTTAATATGGATGGTTGAGATTTAAAATTTTTAATATATAATTTTTGAATAATAAATTTATTTTTTAAATAAGTGTTAGCTATAACATTATCTCTGTTTTGAATTATGCATCTTTTAAAATAAAACATTGATTATAAAAAATTTAAATTTAATCTAGACCATTCAAAAACAACGCAATGATTCAAATTAAGATAAGCATTCTGTGCTGATCACTGTGATGAATATGAAATGCGTTTCTCATGTATTATTTGTAACTGCAAGGCGTGAATCTTTCCTTTCACGGTTCACACCCACTCTTAATAACTTACATCAGTTGTTTTTTTTTTTTTTTGCTGGAATACCTTGGGCTGAGGTGTGAGCTGCCCCTTCTCTACCCAGTTGCTCCTTAAATTTGGAGTTTTTTTTATTTTTAATTGTTCTTCTTACTTCTTAGTATTATATTTTAATATTTTATTTACAAAAAATAGTTTTATTTTTTATTTTTATTTTTTTAAATATTTAAAACTTTAAATGTTTTGATTTCTTTTTAACTTAGAGTATTAAATTTAAAAAAAAAGTAAAAAATAAAAACTAAACCATTTTTTGAAATAAAATATCAAAACGTGACTCATTATATGTAAAATCTAATGATAAACACAACCGCAAAAAAAAAAAAAATGGAATGAACCCCAAAATTAAGAGGCAGCTGGGGGGTGGCTGATTTCCGTAGCCCAAACACCTTCGGAAAAAGGTCTCTTTGCTTCCTTTCCCGTCTATTTCTTTTTACTTTTTATGATTGCAATTTGAACCATGCATATTTTATATTTTATAAAATTATGAATAAAATTTTATTTTTTTAGAAAATAAATAAACAAAAATAAATTATTAAATTTTAGTCACGATAATTAAAAAACAACAAAAATATTTTATAAAATTATTTATATAATATGAAATCCGGACCGCTTAAATTGCAATCTTAATGGTTGGAGGAAAAGAAAAGTAGTGAGAGCCCTCGCCCTGTTGAATTTTTTTTGGACCAAGCTCGCCCTGTTGAATTTAACCCGAGGGATTCTTGTCCTTTACATACATATAAAGAAACTGCTCGGTATTATTTGACTTTTTCGCTTATTGAGTCGTCGAATTTATTTCATTTGTATGCTTTGGTCTATGGAATTTAGTACTCCTCCTATGTTTAATCTAAAATCTATTTAACTAATTTGATTTGGTTAAGAAAGTTAGGTAAGTTAGCTAATTATAAAAAATATGACATGTTTTTCTTAAAACACCATAATCATCTTTTTTTAATATCCTTTTCCCCTCACTTATTTGATTATAGTTGAGGGAGTATCTATAGAGGTAATTTAAAAAAACTGATAAACATAAAAAAACAGATCTTATATTTAAGATCATAATTAACTTAATAATTAAGTTCCATATTAATGATTGAAAAAGTATAGTTTTCAACCGGAACTAAGTTCACATGACGCTGATAATTAAGACGTCAACTAATTTAAGTGATCAGGGGACGTGAAGTAATTGTTTTGAATATGATGCCACAAGTTCGTCATATACTCTTCTGGTCTTATTTATAAGGCACTTTTAGCATGTTTTACACAAACTAAGGAAAACCTTAAATTTCATTAACTCTCATTTAAAATTTAATGAATTTTCAACTTTATCCCTATTTAATATACATTATATCTCATATAAACAAAGTCAACATAATAATAAATGAGAGGTAAAATTATATATCAATATAAAAAATTTCTCTCAGTATCCTCTAAATAGGACCAAAAAATATATTACCAAAAAATATATTTTCTCTCTGCTTTATAAATAAGACCAGGAGTAGTTGGCATATTACAGTTAATCATGTTTGTCGGGTCCGTACTGTATGCCACTCTAAAGTTGTATCATTATTTAACAATACTAATATTTTTCATGCAGTGAGGCAAAAAAGACCTTTCTCATATTTAAAAAACAAAATCTCCCGCATTCAATTATCACTCAGGCACCGTTTGGGTGATAAGTCATCCAAACACCCATCTAATTTGCACAAACCGTGGTTTTTGGCCAAAACCATGGTTTTGAAAAAAGCAAAAAATTTTTGCTTTTAGAGAAAAAGGGAGAGTGTGAGAGCCTATAGGATATGTATCTTGTTATTTTTTTTATAAACATATTTTTTTATAAACATATTTAATCTTATATTTTATAAATATATATACATATTAATTATTTATTAATTATATTATCTTATGTATTATTAATTATGTTAATAAAAAATATATTATTAACAATTTTATTCCTTCAAATTAAAATATATCATAAAATCTATTTTTTTTGTAATTATCATATTAACTTATGTCTTTTTTTTAGTAATTTGTATATATAAAAAGTGCTTCTGATAACAACTATCCAAACACTCTCACTTTTCAAAATCACTTTTTCATAACATTTATTCTTTCCAGAATCTATTCTTCTCAGAATCTATTTTCCAGAATCACTTTTTCAAATTACAGTTTGATTTTATCTAAACACACCCTCAATCTTGGTCTCGAGTAGGGTGGCAGGGACCGGAGAGGAAGAGAATAGGGAGGTAGAGAATGTAAAACTCAAATAAGTAATATGGGTGCACCAAAAAAAAAAAAGAAAAATGGGCTATGAGCTAGAAAGTATCATCATCGGCCCAGATGCATAAGCCATTCCATTCAGCGCCCACTAAATTAACTTTTTTTTATTAGTAATTCAGGGGGCCAGTAAGTAATCCTTCCTCTTGTCGGGATTTGCTGACTCCAAGGCAACGAAGCCATGATGCTGTTTGGCGCGATGGATTTGGGAAAGGACAGACCCAGAATAAAGCAGAAGACGTTAGTCGGCAAGACGCCGAGAACAAACATCATACCCCTCCACGTCATTCTCATACCCAGCCAAGTCATCTTTTGTCCGGGAGCTTACCTTTTGTTTTTTTTTGGACCAAATCCAGGAGCTCACTTTGATTATTTTGATCTGATGAATTTCCCATGATGCTATTAAAAAACAGGTGGCATTTTAATGAATTGCGTGTCATTATTTTGTTAAAATGTTGAGGAAGGAAACGTCCGTCTACTAATCTGTTAGTGAGGGGTTAAATTACTCCACTTTTAAGTTTAATAGGTTCAGGACAAAACACCAATAAATTTTTTAGGATGTTGGATACTATTCAAAAATTATGCAAATTCAACTCATTCAGCCTGAAAGACCATCCAAATTAAAATATTAGCTTTAATTCTAGATATAAGAGTTTGTCTGCGTAATTTATATTAAAAAAAAAAAAGGCAGAACCAAACTCTGGGTCATTGGGTTCTTGGGCTTCTGTTTTGACCCAAAAGGATCGTGTCTTGCCAGCGTCCGTTTCAATTAGGGTTTCCATGCTCAGGGTCCTTCGCCTCCTCGAGCGGCAGCTGCTTGTGCTTATATATCGTGGCTTCATGGTACGTCTCTTCGATTTTCATCTTCCGCGCTCTGGTTAGGAACCCTCTTAGCCTATTCCTGTGAAAGGCTTTCCACAGTAAGGGAGCGTCTCATTGTCTCTAGATTGTATTGTTTATTCGAGTTTTGTCTTTTTATTCCTGCCTCTACAAAAGTTGAATCCTAATCTATGATGAGAAAACTGCAACAATATGATGGATATAAATTCCATGATTCGCTGTATTTAAGTCTCTGATGATTGGATTATGCCTGTTCTTTTTCTTTTTTCTTTTTTTTTTTTTAAATGTTTCGCTGAAAATTCTTGGTAAACCGCAACCGAAGAGATATGATGAATTTTATATTGGTCCGTGTTTCTGAATTACCGTGACCGATAATTACATAACCATTTCTGATCTCTCTTTGCGAGCGTTCCTTCCTGGGTCTTTCATCAATTTTATTTTTATTTTTTTTCCAAGTTGTTAATGAGGAACCGTTGCTCTGTGATTACTTGCCTTAATGGCAATATACGCTATTCCGATTCAGAACTGAGCGGAAAGTATATTATTACTAATGAGAGCAGTGGCTACCTTAGTGTTCGACTTATTCCTACTCGATGGCTTAACAAAAGTTGTTACTAGCACGTATGATTCTCCTAATCTATTTTTTGATAATGATATGTGTGAGGTGCTGTTCCAATTGTTTTGTTCCTGTTTTGGCAGTGAGAATGACAATTCTAAATTTACTGAGCTTAAGTTTGATTTATCCATCGTTCAATTTAATTAGAAATGTTTGAATTTTCTTATGAAAACAATTATTGATGATAGAGTTCCATCTCAGAATTCTATTCTGCTGTGATGAATTTAGAATAAATTCACATGTCAGACTTCAGAGATTTTCCAAATCTATGAGAATGACAATTCTAAATTTACTGAGCAGAAGTTTCATTTTCCTTATGGAGAGTCTTGGTCTTTTGAGGCATTGAGCCATTTGATGTCAGCAAAGTCTTCAAGTAAAATCTGCTGGATTGATCAACTAATACTCCTCCGGTCTTTAATATAAGACCCATTTAACTAATTTGATTAGATTAAGGAAGTTAGGTAAGTTAGTTAATTGTAAGAAAAGTGACACATTTTTCTTAAAATACCATAATCATCTTTCTTAATGCCCTCCTTCCTCTTCTACTTAATTATGGTTGAGAGAGTATCCATAAGGGTAATTTAGAAAAAATTGATAAATATGATAAATGGGTCTTATATTTAGGACCAAAACCAACTCAAGAATTGAGTCCTATATTAAGGATCAGAGGAGTACATCGTTTTTGTGAGTTGGATTCGCATGCTACTTTGAAGTTTAAACTAAGTCACCATGTTAGCCATTATATTGACTTCAAAGTTTGAACTAAGTCACCATGTTAACCATTTAAATTGACCCTCGATCCTAGACAGATAATTAAAAGAATTAACATGGTTAGAATGGTTGGTCTGTCACCTCGTAACACCATATATGCTAGTGCCTGCTCGAAAAGGGGAATGAATGGGTGAGCTAAAAGAATAACTGAAATAACTAATGCACAGCATTGCCATGATACAGACTTCTCAATTAATCTAACTATAATCAGGTGTGCTTAATGCCCAGGAAAATTAATGTGGTAACAGAAGACAGAACACTCGTTACGGCCCCTGTTCCTTGATATCAATGTTTCCTTCGTAGAAGTAGAGGTCATAGTTTCATATTTATGTGGGCAGGCCACTTGTTGAGTGACTCACATGACTCTGTTAAATCATCTTTGACATTGCCCTAGATTATATTTATTCGAAATCGTATCACTTGGCACTTTGAGATGGTGTGCCAGTGCCAGTGCCTTGTGTGAGCTGTGATAATGTGCACATCAGAAAGTAGTCGGTATTGAAAGTATGCACGAACTTTTAGATTGGATTTCAAGTGAGACATGGAAGACCAATCATAAATATCAAATCATGAGACGACGAGTCCTCGGCTGCAAGGCATACAAGAGTTTAGTTTTGCATTTACACAAGTTCACGGAATTTTCTCATGCCTGGAAATGTAATCCCTGCTCCCCCGGTCGTGCAATTTGAGGCCTTTAATGTGCTGTTGGTTACTCAATGCCGGCCAATTATTCTGTTTCAGTGATTGAAATCTACCTTGATCTCCAGGATGTTTCACCATGTCGGGCAATTTCAAAAGTAACCTCCAAATGCCAGGATTTTGATCGTTAGAAATAGTTTGCGATCTAAATTTATTCAGTTGTTTACAATTTTTAAAACGAAAACAAGCACGGATCAGCCCACAATTGAAAAACTTTGAAATCCTTTGCAGTATTCGCGCTGGGGGCTCACATGTTGGAACTCGAAAACTAGTGTCAGCAGTGCGACAAAGATTCCAGAAACCATATGTTTCAAAGAGTTCCTTTTTCCTATTTGTCTGTGTTATTTTTAGATCCTTTTATATTTTGTTTTGTTCTAGACTTCTAGTATCAAAAATGATGAATTTTGGGTTACTTGCCGTTAAGAGCGGACATCAAGTGATCAGATTCCCTTGGAATTCTTCGTCATAAATTCGATATCGACGGTCTACTTCTTGTTTTAGCGTGTCGTTCGATTTGAAGCTCGTTTACCAATTACATCATCCTCTAGTACACTTTTTTCTATACTCACGAGCTTCTGATTTCACAAACAGGATCGTCTCAATCAATTTCAATGTTTAAATAATGACTCATTCATTTAATCTGTTGGTAAAACAATGCGGAACTATCTTTTTTCCTTTTTCTTCTTCTTTTTTGAATGAGAAACAAAGAAAGAGAACAGTGTACCTAATTTGCTAGGAGGGATCAGATCTCGATGTGGAAAAAAAAAGATATCATGGAAAATTTAGTGACAGTGATGTAGCAACCTGTGGCTCCATTTAAAAGAAACCATAAAAGATAAATAGCACATTGACAATATATTAGCTTTGGCCAAGACAAAGAAAAAGGAAAAAAGGATGTTGGCGCAATTGCACAGGCTGGAATTGGGAGCTGCCCTGGAGCTGCCCTTCATCAGCATGTGAGCTAACCAAATAAATATCTGTCCGCTACATTTTAAATATAATCCTCGCAGATTCCTAGCCATATCTATTGGTTGTCCGACGAAGATTATGAATTGACGGGTGATGAATATCATAATGTTGCTGCCGTCTATCTTCCACTATCACCCTCTGTTAACTCGCCTTTGCCGGTTTGGACATTTTCTAGAAAGAAATACTCTTTCCGTTTCTTATTATAAGAGATAAATAACTAAATTATGTTGATAAAAAACAGTTAAAATTAGTTAAAGACAATTAATGTGTAAAAAGTATAATATTTTTTTCAATAATACCCCCATTAATAAGAAGAGAGACTATAAGAGAGAACAATTAAATTATTAAAAGAAAGAGAAGTGGGAGGGAGATAGAGTATGAGTTGAAGACAAAATAAATAGGGGTAAAATAGAAAATCAATAAAAAAATAAAAACAACTTTTAAATGTCTCTTATATATAGAAACATACTATGAGCATCAAATGTCTCTTATAATAAGGAACAGAAGAGTATCTCTGACCGTTTTTCCCTTTCAATTTTTAATTGCAAAGGGCAGGAAGTTGATTGTTTGTTCTACAGTGATTGGACATTGTTGATCACACTGTCGTTAATAAGATTCTGCCTTTGTTGGAATGGGCATGCGTGATTCCCTGAAATGCTGCTCTGAAAATGTGACCCTGATGCTTGCTTTGCTGATTAGGCTTTAATCTCTTGAACGGTTTTATGAGCAAGTTGATTCTAACACACGACCGAACAATCAACAGCAATCCCATTGAAGAGGTCGAGTAGTGAGAATTAAGGTGAATGATAAAGGTAATAATTATGTCACTGGTTATAAAACGACAACAAACACAAGGGCCTTCCGAGATTGAACGGAAACTTGAACTCCCATTTATCTACATATTCAGCCAATAATTTACTGTTCTTTTTTTGTCTATAGAAAAATGAAGTGATGACTTCATGCCCTTTCCCCTAAATATAGGCTAAAAATGTATGAGTCATGCATGCCAGAAAAAGCGTTCCTTTCCAGCATATCCTACGCAAGCACGCATGATTATTTCACATCTTCTATTCCCTTTCCAGTCTGAAGCACTTTCAGCTAAATACAAGCTATCGCAAAGAGAGATCCACTCCTATTAAATTTCCTAAGCCTTTAATGAACCTACCATCTTGTCTCCTAGTAACCTGCATGTCGTTGTCCTAGACAAGTAGACAACCTTTCGATTGAGCAGCCAACTACGAATGGCCAAGGAAAGGGCCAAACATGTTTCTACGTAGTTTGGTTTGCCTCTTCCTTTAGCTCAGTGGTCGAGGAAGCTGAAGTCAATGAACCGTCGTCGTCTTGATAATTAGGAATATCACAATTCCCACACGAGCCGCACGCGTTTGGCTGGCTCTTCCACCTCGCCGACCTATGGGAATGAAGACAAAAACTTCCCAGTCACCTTTTTAATATTTTCATTTTATTTTCGGACATAAGGATAAAACTAATGACCCCCTCGTCACGTACCTCTCATCTATATATGCGAAGCCCCCATTTCTGAAAGAAACAGAGGTGAAAGATGAAGTCTGGAGAGATGTTTGCTTCGGCAGGATCCATAATTGCTTCCCTAATGTTCGTTTGGGCTATGTTCCAACAGTGTTTCCCCTACCCACTTCGCAACCAAATCGAGAAATACTCTCAGAGGCTCGTCACTTTGGTGTACCCCTACGTCCAAATCACGTTCCACGAGTTCACCGGAGAGCGCTTCATGCGCAGCGAAGCCTACTCCGCCATAGAGAACTACCTCAGCCCACGCGCCTCCACGCAAGCCAAGCGTCTCAAAGCCGACATCGGCAAGAACAATCAGTCTCTCGTGCTGAGCATGGACGATCACGAAGAAGTTGCTGAGGAATTCAGAGGAGCTAAGCTGTGGTGGGCTTCTGGCAAGAACAACTCCAAATCGGAGTCTCGTTCGTTTAACCCCTTGACCGACGAGAAAAGGTACTACAAGCTCACTTTTCACAAACGACATAGAGATTTGATAGTAGAGACGTATTTGAATTATGTGATGAAAGAGGGGAAGGCTATTAGGGTGAAAAATAGGCAGAGGAAGCTTTACACGAATAACGGGTCATATTGGAGCCATGTCGCTTTGGAGCACCCAGCGACGTTTAAGACTTTAGCCATGGAGCCGGAGAAGAAGGGGGAAATTATTGATGATCTCATCACTTTCAGTAAGGCTGAGGAATTCTTTAAGAGAATTGGGAGGGCCTGGAAAAGAGGGTATTTGCTGTACGGTCCCCCGGGGACCGGGAAATCCACAATGATCGGTGCCATGGCGAATCTCTTAAGCTATGATATCTATGATTTAGAATTGACTGCTGTGAGGGATAACACTGAATTGAGGAAGCTACTCATTGAAACGTCAAGCAAGTCTATAATTGTGATTGAGGATATAGATTGTTCGCTTGATTTGACTGGGCAGAGGAGGAAGAAGGTGAAAAGGGAGGATGAAGAAGAGAATACAGATCAAAGGCAAAGACCAGCGGCGGGCGAAAGAGAGGGCAGAGGTAGTCAGGTCACTCTTTCTGGGCTTTTGAACTTCATTGATGGGTTATGGTCTGCTTGTGGTGGAGAAAGACTCATAGTGTTCACCACAAATCAGATAGAGAAACTCGATCCTGCGTTGATTCGAAAAGGAAGAATGGATAAGCACATAGAGTTGTCCTATTGTAGCTTCGAGGCGTTTAAGGTTCTTGCTGAGAATTATCTCAGAATCGAGTCCCACCGTTTGTTTCCCAGAATCGGTGAATTGCTTAGAGACGTTAAAATCACACCAGCCGATGTAGCAGAACACCTGATGCCCAAGTCTGCTTCTGGGGATTCTGAAATTCAATTGCAGAGCCTGATTGAAGCTCTCGAAACGACAAGAGAGGAGGAGGCGAGAAAGATTGAAGCTTTGGGCAAACAGGAAGCTGATCAGACACAGCACGGTTCATAAGTCAAAATCAGCAGGAAATTTCTGGGAAGGTTGGTGTAAAGGAAAAGCAAAAGAAATGGATTCGAGAGGGACAGTGATACAGTAAATATGGAAATAATTTTGTCATGTAGAGCCTTAATTCAACAATTTTGCAACTTGCGACAATGTTGTGTTATCAATTTTTAGTACAATAATTAGAGAGTTGTTGGATGATGATGGCTCTTTCAACTCAGAATCTCCGCATCGGATATGATATAAAGACGGGAAAATTGATTGGGTGCGGGAGAATCGTCGATGGAAGTGATAGCCGGCTTGAGTAAAATAAATATTATTTACTATAATAAATCTGAAAGAATAATGCATGCTAACGCAGGATTAATGAGTGATCCATATATATACACAAATAAATGGACTGAGACTTAATAGTTAACTAACTCTTATACTTCTTCTCAATTCATAACGTGACGATCTAAGGTTTAGATCTCTATTAGAAGAAATATCCGCATTTAATATTCGATAGTACCGAAAAAAGGATTACTACTAATAAAAAGATATCTAAAGAAAAAGTTGGGGGCAAAAAACATTCAATGTACATAACTTGTTATGCACATCACAACTTACAATCTTTGTCAGAAAATCAGCTTTTTGATTTGAAGAACTAGTATGTTCCAAACTAATTAGCGTATCTTGTAGCTTCTCTCTTATAAAGTGATAGTCGATTTTGATATGCTTTGTCCTTTTTATGAGAGATTGGATTAGAGGCAATGTGAATAGCAGCTTTACTATCACAATGAATCTTGATAGAATGTGAATGGCTAATGTGTAACTCTTTAAGTAAACCCACTAGCCAAATAACCTTTGAAACAGTAGAAGCAAGTGTCTGTATTCAGCTTCTGCATAGGACCTTAAAATTGTATGTTGCTTCTTGGTCTTCCACATAACAAGAGAGCCACCAAGCATCAGCAAATAGCCAGTTACAAATCTCCTTGTGGTCCCACAAGAAGCCCAATTTGAGTCACAAAAGCAGCCTAGGGGTAGATCTCCACTTGAGCTAATCAACACTCCAAGCCCTGGGCTTTGCTTTAAGTATCTTATCTTATTACATTTAATGTTGCTGCCATGTGAGCTTTCATGGGCTGATTCATAAACTAACCAACTACCTACACTGAAAAACAAATATCAGGTCTAGTAACAATTAGATAGATTAATCTACCAACTAGTCTCCTATACCTTCCAAGGTCTTTTAATAATTCTGATTTCTTATGTTCACCATCTTCAAAAGCTATTAATTTCATAGAGTATGCTGATTTCACAGAGCATACGAAGGGGCTTACACCCACTCATCTTAGAATCAGACAGTAAATCTAGCACATACTTTCTTTAAAATAAAACTATCCCTTTAGAAGATTTAGCTACTTTTACACTAAGAAAGTACTTCATCAAACCTAGGTCTTTGATTTTGAAATTATGATGAAGAAACTCTTTTACCTTTGTTATTCTTACCTTAGAAATTCATGTGATTAGTACATCATCAGCATAAATAAGAATCAAGACAGTACCATCACTGAAAGTTCTAAAAAAGAGAGAATAATTATGCTTACATTGAGTGGAGCCACCTTATTTTAGGGCCATGGAAAGTTTATTGGTCCACTGTCTAGGTGCATGTTTATATTTAGCCACGCCGCGGGTTTGTCATAAAGCCATAAGTATCTCATATATCTTATCATATTGCGACAGGTGGAATCAAAGAATAAGATCTCGCTTAAGCTCTTTCCAATTAGCAACTGGAGCCCGCACCTCTTTCCATTGAAACCAGTTCAACGCACGCCCTTCAAAGCACAGAACAGCCGTGTCGAGCTTGTCATTATCAACAATTTTATTGAGCTTGAAGTATAGCTCAATTTCTTCTCCAAAAAAATAACAGCACATCAAGCTTGCAATAGTTTGACAGAGTGGTGTCACCATCACTAACGGGCTCGTGAATCACGTCCACCTGTGGATTCGAGCTGCGTTACCATCCCTTGAATGTTTACTGAAGTGCAATTCAGCAAGCACATTAGACATAAGAGATTTCAAAGTTGCCACATCACTACTCGATGCTTTGCTCAGCACGAAGCATCCGAGAATCATACTCGCCAAATTTAGCCTCCATCCTTGTGCTGACCATCCAGAAACATTCAGATCTGATACCTTATGGTGGAAATGGTACTCTTAACTATATTATTCAAGCAGATAAGGCTCTACGAAGTATGCTCTAATGGAGGAAAATACAAAATCAGTCACAATGCATTTGAGAGGCACTCCACTCTCCTCAACAAACTCTACTCATCACCTACCTCCCCTAACATACGTTTTCTTCTCAGATGCTCATTTCCTCTAATTGTCACCTAGACATTACCATATTTGCCCATCTCACCTGTACAACACTACCTTGACTAGTTACTGGGCTTTTTCTATAGTAAGTAAACATGCCCCGGTGCTCAACAGATACAAACGGTCTTTTAATTTATCAGAGATAGCTAGATCGCAGATATAAACTTCCGGCGTCTAGTAGGGTTCTGCAGTTGCTATACTCCTGGACTGCAGAGGAGAATCTTGGGCTTTCTTGATTAGAGGCCCGTGTTAAAGATTGGTGATTGGCATCTTCGTGTCTAATGGCTCTAATACCATGATAGCCTGTAAAGGCTTGAGTAAGACAAATATCATTTATTATAATGAATTTGAAGAATAATCCATACCAACACAGGATCAAAGAATGATCCATGTATATACAGAAGCAAATGGGTTTGCACCTAAATAAGCTAAGGCCCAACATTTAACTAACTCTTACAGGAAAGCATACGATAATTTCATTCTTCACGCGAGAATGCACTTAGGTCATGATTCACAAATTGCACAGAATGAAATAACACCACACTTGCAATTCATGATTTGGGAGTTTTACGTGGCTCATGGATGTACATTTGTTGTCTGGATTTTGCATTCTTTTTTTCCTTTGTCAACCTGGCTTTTACATTAATATTCTTTATTGTATGATTAGTTTTTTTAAAAAAAAATCTAGGTATTATATTTTATTTGAAAAGCTCATGTTAAATATGTAAAATATTTTATCTAGATTTTGTTCCCGCTAGGGAAAAAAGGTGGGGGCAGAAGCATCTAAATAATTAGCCAAAACAGGCTAGCACTCTCGAATAGGCCTCTAGCCCATGTTGAGTTCCGGAGTTAATCTTGGGCTTTTGATGTGGCCTCTAGTACGGACTAACGTTGGGTATTATTGGGCCACAGTCCACATATCTATATGGGCCTATCATCTGTTGGCCCAACAATTTTGTTCTAATAATCTAGGATTAGTATCCGAGAAGGAACCAGTTTGGCCCAAAGCTTTTTTTCAACCATTCAGATCTGATCTGAATTTTCTAGATTTAATCTTTTTAATTAATTATTTTTGTATAACAAAATTATTTTTTGAAAAATTGATAGTTAAGAGATCATTTTTATTTTAGATTCTATATCCATTCAAATAATTATTTTAACAAATATTAAAAAAAATTAAATTTGGACCATCTAAATCTTATCTGAATGATCTAAATATGAGTACTTCCATCCAAGAAGCAGGCAAGGGGCTAAAAGGCACTTGTTTTATTTATTTATCGATTTATTTTTAAATCTTCAGTTTATCAAGTTCCTGTGACGTAACGAATTGTAACAAGACGTCACCCAGGTGCGAAGACGCGGCGGGAAACAAAACTACTTTACGAAGAAAAGTATGCAAAAGAGAAAAGTCCAGCTAAAAAACAAAGGAGCATCAAAGAAATGGACCCGCCCATTTCCATGCACATCACAGTCAGCTCACGATGATGGAACCTCCAACAATATTTGTGCAATCAGCGTTCTATTTCACATGCATATATTGCAATTACAATTTGCCCCTTCTTCGCTTCTTCAAATTACCTAACTCGGTCTAACAAAGAAAACAGAAAAGTAAAAGCAACAAAACCCCTTTCAAAGATGAGAGGCATTCTATTTTATTATATATTGATATGTATTACTATCTCTTGTCCTAATTATAAGAGTCAGTTAACTAATTTGAGGAAATTAAGGAAGTAAGTTGAGTTAGTTATTTGTCCTAAATAGGTGTTGTCTTTCCTAAAATATCCTTACTAATCAAGTGTATTAACTAGAACTATAATTATTAGAAGGATTATCTTGAAAAAAATTGAGTAAATATGAGAGACAAATTAGATTGGAGTCTTATATTTAAAACCAAGATAAAAATCAAATAGGGTTTTATATTAAGAATCAGAGGTAATATTTACTAGCTAGGGGCCATAAAGAGGTATCCTCTTTGCGACCCTATATCGATATTGTTGGAATAAAAAATCAATCCGCCTTTGATGGATTAGGTCCAAACCCAAAAAACTTGGGGTCTAGTCATAATTCACTAAAAGATCAGGGTGATGTTAGTAAAATATCTATTTTATGTTTATTTGACATATTATCATGGAGGGAATAAATTGAAAATAATTAAGAGCTGTAGTGTAAAGAGAAGAATAATTCAAAAAACTCAAACCAATGAATAATATCGAGACCGTCAAGTGTGGCTGCAGCGGATTGAAGCATTGTATATATGTATGCATAAGATGAAGATGATTGCAACTCGCAGTTGTCTCAGTCCTTTATTTCAGTCAATTTCCTCAACATCCCGCCTCGTCGCTCTCCCTTGAATATTCAAACACCCATTTAAAAACAAGTAGCACGTCATATCCAATTATCACTCGCCATGTGCCTCATGATCGATCCCACGTAGATATTTAGATTTACCACAAATACTACTTTTCAAATGCCACTCCTCATCACCCAAAACTGAGAAAGGGACGACTACTTCTGGAATGTGTATGTCTTACAACGTGGAAGCTTATAATTAAGAAAGAATACTTTTCAAAGGGCCCTCCTCGCAGAACATGATTCTGTCTTTCCTGACTTTTCAATCTTTATTGACTGACTCCTGACTGACTAACGTCATCTCCCCGGCCTCTGATTTACTCAAATTAAAAACCACTCATCGGTGTGAATTGATTATAATCTCACTAATTTGTTTGTCGGCCGAAACAACCCTTTGGCGTTCACACTGCCGAGAGATGAACATGGAGCGTATATAAAGGGGATAGGGGAAGGCAAAGACACCCACAGAAGAAGAAGAAGAAGAAAAAAGG